TGGAGGGGTGAGGTATAAATGGTTCCATTGCAGTGTCACGATGACCAAGGCAAACTGGAAATCATGGTGAACAAAGATAATGGGTGTCACATACTATGCAAGTGAGAAAATACAAGATTCTCAAGATCATAATGAATGCAAAAAGGACAAAATTCAATTATGTATTCCCTGATCCTGCTTATGTAATAAATTCTATGCAATAGAATGAAGAAAAAGAGGATAAAATATTCATAAAGTTTAGCCATTAACTATTCACTGTGAAATTATGGGTAAGCATCATTTCTTTTCTTATATAAAATGTAGACTCATATAAAGTTTTATAAAATGTAGACTGATTGAAATATTTGACTCCTTAATCCTTCTGAAGAATCTAAGTATTAAATGTGTTTTCTAACACATTACACACTTCTTGGTTATTTTTGTTTGTCTTCTAATTCTTCCTTCTGCATTGTCAATTCCTGCCTTATTCTGTGGTGTATAATGAGGGTGTTGCATTTTGGTTCTGCTCTCACCCCTTTCTTGGTGACATCACCCACATCCTTCAGACCTTTCTTTCTCTATCTTTTAGCTATGTGCTTCTGCAATCTCCCACCCCCGTCCATTCACCCACAGTCGATCCTTCATCCCCTACATATCCTCATTTTTAACACATGCTCTTCCACGCACTTATTACTAATTGGCTAAGGGTCTTCTATAAATTCAAGGCTCAATAAAAAGAGGACTCCTTCCTGAAATTAGCTCTCAGACACCTTTCTCCAAGTCACTTTTCTATCAGTTTCAAACTCTGAAGTCACCTGTGAATAGAGCTCTTCTGCTTTTTCTTTCTCCCAACAGTTGACAAGCTGCTGTCTCTGAATGCCCAGAAGCAGATACTACTTTCATGACTTTTTTGTCATATCTATAACCAATGCTCTTTTGTCCTTTCATTCCACTATGACATTGTCTAAAAGGAGGTTTAGTGCAACATGCTCACTTTAATAGTCTTACACAGAGCTGTTAGACAAATAACCTGAAAATAACTTTGGTCATAGTTATCTTCTGCTGAAAAAGAATTAAACCACACAAATACAAAGCCAAAAAATCAATGTATTCTTTAAAAACTTCTTCAAATGAATGACATTTTATTGTGCTATTCAAAGGGGAAATAGTCATTTCATATTTTGTAGCCTCGTAGTATTCATGTACTCATCCACTCTTGGCTTCCAAGAGTTCCCTTAATCTGATCTATATTCTAGGACATATGAGATCCATCTGCACTCCCCAGGCTTGGCCAATTCCCTCACTGCTTATGTTAGCCTTTGCTTTTCTTGAAGCACCTTCAATGCAGTGTACTCCTTGAGCACTTCTGCTCATCCCTGGATTTCCCCACAAATGCCTCATGCATAAATCCATACAACAAAGTCCCTAAGGAAATTACATATCTCATATGATACAACCAATGTTCTTTGGGCCTTTTTTCCTCTGTGGCAGCATCTAAAATGGTGCTTTGTGCTTCTCGGTCCTGTTTCTGCTGTACCAGCTTACCTCAGGAGCTACTCTGTGGAAGCCACTCTTTCACAAGAATATCCTTTATTTCCCTGTTGATTTTTACGGGTAACTTGTCCTTGAGTTTGAATATTTTTCACAGTGTTCAGGACACAACTTTCCACTTTATTTATTTCAGACACTCAAACCTTTTGTGACTATTTCAACTTTAAAAGTCTTTACAAAATATGATATGAGTTACAGTATATTGCCCTTGAGTTCTAATGTTCACATACAGACTATACAACCAACTACAAAACCCCATGAAAATGACAAGGAAAATGTGTTATTAATTCAGTAAAAAACTTGCAAGTTTATCTGACAGCCTTCTTTGAAGAAATTTCTTGTAATTAAATATATCATATAAGATTTACGAAAACAAGCTGGGTGGTGGTGGCACATGCCTTTAATCCCAGCACTTGAGAGGCAGATGCAGGAGAATCTCTGTGAGTTCCAGGCCAGCCTGGTCTACAATGCTACACAGAGAAATCCTGTCTCGAAAAAACAAACAAACAAACAACAAAAATCCTACTTATGAGGATTGCAGGGTTAAATGAGACATCACATGCTAAGAGCTTAAGATAATGTCAAGCAGATAGTTAACAATAACAAATGATAATTCTAGTTAACAGAAGCAAATGACTCAAATAAATGGCACTCTCTTGAATTATTATGTTTCTAGAAGTTTCTTTACAGAGCCTTTACATATATAGAAAGGAAATTTATGTACCTTTGTTTGTTTTTGCTTTTAGAGACCGCTTCTAACTATGTAGCCCAGACTCACTGTGACCTAGAACTGGTGATCCTCCTGCCTCGGTCTCCTGAATGCTGAGATTACAGGAGTGCCATCATTCCTCCTTACGCCATCTACTTTTCAGTAGTCTCTTGCTTATATGCTATCATTTCTAACGTGGAGTGTATAGAGAAATCCAGCAAAGAAGTCCTCTGCCCCTCTGCCACTGCAGAAACCTGGCAGGAGACCTGAAGTGCGGTAAGCAGAGCGGAGCCTGGGAGAACTGTGGAGGAGTTGCCCATAGCAAAGCCCAGGCTGCAGTTTGCCTTTTGCTCTCCCGATGAAACTGAAATTTTTCCACTTTAACCAAAATCTAGAAAAATCATTTCCCACATAACCTGAAGAAATTTTGACACATACCTTTCCTTTTCTACCCAAACAATTCATCTAAAAATTAGTAGCTAGGAACTGGTAGAGCCAGTGCCTAGGATTTATAGGGTTCTGGGTCCCAACCCTAGCACCACAAAACATTAATAAAAGGACATGCACACACACAAATTTTAGTTAACTAAACACCCAAAATATCAAATTTCTATTCTTAATGTGTCATCACATGAAAAACAAAGTAAAATATGAGAAATGACAAATTTATTAACAAAATAAGTGGTTAAATAAATAAATAAATAAATAAATATTAACTGAACTGTTGTGGTCTGGCCACTATTTTGTGTGTTAAGAATTCAGCAAATTTTTAACAGAAGTTAACAACTATGCAAACAATATTGATTAGTCACCATGGCACTGAGACCTGTGTTAGCAGCTCAGAGTCAGGTCTGCTTGGATTTGACTCACTAACAGCTATTCTAGTAAGATGGCTCTTGTTACAGAGTTCATCATCATCCCCACTAGATGATTTCAAAATGGCCATGAAAGAGGAGGCCATAAGGGCCTCTTGGTAATCATGTGCCACCTTCCAATGCCTAGGCAAACTGCAATGAAGTGGTGCAGTTCATATTGAAAGTGTATTGCAGACTTTTGTTGAATAGAACAATGATAATTTCATCTTTTTCAATTAGCACAGACATCCCAAAGCTTAAAATACATACAAGTTTCTGATACATCTGAAAGCTAAGAATCAGACCATGTGGGAGATGTGCGTGTGTGTGTGTGGGGGGGCAGGCGTGCGTTCACATTCTACATGGATTTGATCAGATAAGAATATAACAAATAATTTTCACCAAAAATGAAATATTTTCACTTACTCTATGATCTCAAGGGTTTTCGAGCATGAGGGGGATGGGATGATGGGTTTTACTTTGGGCTTACACGCACAATCCTACTGAATAATTTCTGAGACAAAAAAAATGCATACTCATTGCATCTGTCTTTAAGATCAGTCCCTGTAATGTATGCAATACCTGAAACAATGCAGCATCATTTTTTGAGAGCACACTAACTTATTTAAAGAAATTCATTCTCTGGTTCAAAAATCATATGTGGCTCAACCCACGCTCTGGAAGCCTGTGGACAGTGTCATCTGTCTCTCCCCTTTCTTGCACTGGAACTACCCACAGAAGCCAAGCTCTCCAGCAATGCTTGTGGAATGAATAAATTAAGTCACTCGTGATTATACACTGCAGAGAAAATTAACCGAGGACAATGCACTAGTCTCCCTCAGCTGCTGCAAATACTCACATTCATGGTGTACATTTCCACAGTTATGGTATTTCACTCTTAGGGTGGCTGTCTCGACCATGTTTTAAATTATCGTTTTTAAAAAGCTAAACCTTCTGTATGAAAAATTTGAAACTGGCAGTCTTGAAGGGAAATGCTATAGAGATGCCAAGAGAAAGTGTAGAGGGTGGTACTGGTCTCTTCTCAGAAATGCAGAAAATGTCTTCCATTTCTTTTAAAAAGACAAATGACTACTATATAGCATTTATGAACAAGAATGTATGTTAAAGTCAAAGATAATGTTAAAGAATTAAAAAGTAGACAGTATCTATAACCGCCCTTTCAAATTAATATACATCCTCATGCCAAATTTAAAAATTAATATTTTTCATGTAAGGCATAAGGCCCAGATCAATGGGTCCAACTGCTTTCATAGCAAGAGAGAGGATTCCTTTTTATGCTATTAAGTCTGAATAAAGCATATGATACTAAATTCTTTTAAGAATTAACCATCTTTGACTTTAAAAATATCTCTTACTGTATCCTGAAACATTAGTAAAGAAATTACAGTATTTTATTCACAAAACCTAACAACACTGAGTCATCCCTGGGTTTTAGTCTCCAGTACTCACCCCATCTTTAAAGAGTGAACCATTTTATTTAGAATGTTTAAAAAAAAGAAAGACCACGGATACATAGGAAACCTTCAGCTAAAATCAATTTAACATGTTTCTCTTAAATTCAAAAGAATACATTTTCTTTGTGATGTAGAATTTCAGACATTTTGTTAATTGTCACAATGACAAAATTCAAACAATACAAATGAGGTAGGCATGTTGATATTTCTTAATTTGCAATGCAGACAAAAGACATATTTTTTAGGTACTTTCTATTCAAATTAACCTTGGTAAGTGGTATAATATGCATAAGAAATCCTACATCTTATAGACAATGATCAGCATGGGCTCTGGGATAAAAGACCAGCCACAAAGAGATATACCTAAATAAAAACACTCCTGTTCTTTCTCAATATCCCCTAATTTAAGCATTCAAATAAAACATGCAGTACCTTTTAATTTGCTGATTGAGTGGTTCCCAGTCAGTGCCTTCCTCTGTTAGAGACAAGCTGAAGAATCTAGAGAAAAAAGAAAAAAAAAAAAAAACGAACAAAAGAAAACACATATATACATATAGGTTTGTTAACTAAATATCAAAAATCGTAACTCACCAGTAAGTCTAATCATCCCTTATATCCAGATAATAAATTTACCACTTGGAGTCTGCAGTACAAAACAATGCAGCCCTTGAATTTTAAGCTCAATCTCGTATTTAAAACTCGGTAATCCAAGACCACATAAAGCAGATCCTTTGACACAGTGGATTAAAAATAAAGGGAAATAAAATGTGAAAGCCCTAAAGCATTACCAGTGCATATGCAGCAATGCCCCCTGAATCGAGTCCGGTGGAACTGCTGCAGAACCCTCCTCCAAGAACACTCCCTCTGCTGTGTCTCTCTCGCTCCAGACAGACGCAGTCTGAAAAGCCACCAGCTCGTGTCTGTGTGTGCCAGGGAAGGGAAGCTGCAAATTAAAAAAAGTCCCCGCAGTGGCGGAAAGGAAAATAAGGCAAATAGGAGAGGGAGAGAGAGCTCACTAGGCTCAGAATTTTCGAGAATGATGACAAGCCACTCAGCTCCGCCATCATTCACTGACAATAGGATGGTGCCCTGGCTGGGGATTTAGCGGTTTGCCACGGGGACTTCTGGTACCAAACGCCTGACAGGCATTTTAATTGCCTCCATCCAAGTGTGTCCCCAGGAGTCGAGTCTATAAGCCTATGAATGTCATCATCTGGTCTCCTTTGTGTTTTACACACACGTGGGACACACACACACGCACGCACACACACACACACACACACACACACACACACACAGAGAGAGAGAGAGAGAGAGAGAGAGAGAGAGAGAGAGAGAGAGAGAGAGAGAGAGAGACCTGTTTTCAGACATATAGGATTACAAGCAAGTTACACTACACAAGCTGGGCATAAGCAAATGATTGTTTCCCGGAATTTTTGTTATCCATATGAGGAATACTGAAGAGTCTGAGGCTTTGTCATTGAACAATGAACAATGAATACAATATTTTAAAGCTATTGCACAGTTTATTAATGGTCCAAAATAAAGTATTCATTAAGGAAATATATATACTGGTATATATTTTCCTACAGAAAATTCAGTAGTATGATCATTATGCACTTGGCAATGTTTGTCTTACAAGGCTTGCCATGTGATATCTGTGCGCAATCATTTTATCCAGGCTACATATAAAAGAAGGTGGCAACCAGTTTGAGTGTGGACTTTTGCTGTCCCTGGGCTGAGGGTCATTACAGGGAATTCAGTGTTTGGCATAATCAGTCACCCCTTTAATGTTAGCAACTAAAATTAACAATTGAATATCCCTGTCTTACAGTGCCCCTTATGAGGGGGGCTTAACTGTGGAATAATTCTCCACATGTATTATCCTGGAGAAAATGTTAATAAATGAATTGTTAAGCATTGTTAGAACCCTGTATCAGTAAATGGAGTACATTTGCTGTGTACCAAAAGGGCCAGCTGCACAGGAGGTTGCTGAGAGGAAGCATCACCATGGTTACCGGAAACAAAAAGGAAAGAGAGAGAGAAAACTAAGGTGATGCTGGGAAAGAGGGAACAAGACTACAGTGGAGGAAATCTGGAGACAAAGGACTCGGCTTCTTCTCCTCCTTCTCAAAAGCTTGGTTTCTGACAGCTTTATGTTGTATTTTGAATTCAGAAAGATGGATTTTCATTTCCTTCTGCCATGCTCTTCCCTGTTTTTGATCACCAGCTAATTTTGCTTTCATAAATATTCAAATTTTTGTTCTTTGCTATGAGATTGATCCGATCCATATCTGCACCCTCAGAAACCACCCAGCCCCACCCCCGACACCCTTTGTTTAACAGAGGAGAAAGTGGAGGCCTGAGGCCTGCCATGACCAGTTCAAATTCCCACAGAGAAACAGCAGGCTGGATTCCTGACTAGCCTACTGTCCCCCTCATCAAAAGACTTTCTCTTCTCTACTCATACGCTTTTTGCAGGAAAAACAGAATCCAGTCAAATCCTTTGTCTTTGACTGTTTAAACCTTTGATTTTCAAAGCAACAATCTTCCCTTTTTATATACACTGCAATCATCCCGAGAACCAGCTTTGCCTAATGTCTGCGCCGGAATGTGCGAGGCCACAAAATCTTGGGTGATTATATCAACAGCATTTTTTTCTTTTCTAGTCTGGTCATCAGACGGTTCAACTGTCCTTTACAGATCTAGCTTGTTGAACCAGCTTAAACATCAGGTCCTAGGCTTTCTGATATTACTGGCATCATTCTTTTTGCAATGAAAATGGATGGTTAAAATGAGGCAGAATCCCTAGGTTTCTCTTAGATGTGACAACATAAATCTTCCAGTGGTCATCTAAAACAAAGAAGCTGGAAAAGTGAGAGCCCTGGTGGAGAGAGAGAAGGAGGGAGGGAAAAGGGAAGGAGAGAGAGAGAGAGAGAGAGAGAGAGAGACAGAGACAGAGACAGAGACAGAGACAGAGACAGAGACAGAGAGAGGAAATAGTGGTACCACTCAAAATCAGCCACTGGAGGATGCAATATATACTAAAATCTAATTTTTAAACTACGTAAGAAGAATTGTAACTAGACTTTGACCTTTATGTTTCTGTTTATATACTGATATTCTCTTAATAGTTTCCATTCAGGACTGGAGGTTTAGTTCAGTGGCAGAACATGTGCTTAGAATACACACACACACACACACACACACACACACACACACACACAATTAGTTTAGGGCTGTTCACCCATAGAGACACAGTCATGCTGATTTTCTAGGTATCAACAATGCGTAGCTGACCACCACTACCATCCTTTTTCCGCTGTTCCTCATCTTGGCTACAAAATGATGAAATCACATTAAATATATATGGTTGTCATAGATACTACAAGAGTTCGTGTTTTAGTGAATCCTATCCACTAGCTAGTATTCTCCTCCACTACCATTTCATGTAAGTGTCTTTTTAAATATGATCTCTTCAAAATGCCTATTTTTCTTTTTCACCAGAGGTTTGGGAAGTGTTTTGGGATGATTTTTCACAGCATTTGAATCACAAAAATGACTGGCCTGGGAATATATTCCCAATGGTGCAATAATATTTTTATTTTGGGGGTAGCCAACAGCTCTCTAATTGAACTTAAGGACTGCTCAATAGAAAGAGATACATGCCTCGTACTGTATGTAACTCAAGGACACTCAAAATCTCTAGAGGAGAATCTACTACTACTGCCATTTTCCTAAACTAATTTTTATCTGTAACTCTCACCACTCATCAAAGGACGCTTCACCCCAGAGATAGCAGCATTACAGAGAACCAGAGCTGATGAAAACACAGAATAAATGACTTAGGTGCCCAATCATTGCAATTTTTTACCCAAGGCTCAGGGGACATGACAAAAGAGGGACTTGAAAGTACCAGAGGAGCTGCTGAGTGATGGTGTTACCTACTCTCCTTCTTCTGGATACTCATGAGGTCATGGTGATATGGTTTCCTAAACTAGATGTGCATAATGATAGCACCAGCTCACATGCCAATGTGGCTGTGGTAAAATTTGCTGCACCCTAGATAAAAAGCTACAGTCAATTAATGATGGCTGAGAGAGTGAGAACCATTTTTCTCCAAGGATGACCCTTGGTTGATTATTCAATCTAAAGTAGTGATTGCTAAATACATGTACATATGAACAATACTAGATGGACTCAGTCAACTCTCTCTCTCTCTATTTCCTCTCTCTCTGTATACTAATACACCAATAAAGAAGAGGAAGCCATGGATTTCATTGGGGGTGGTGGAAAACATGGGAAGAGTAGGAGTTGGAATGGGAAGGCTATAGTGAGAATGATGTATACACAATTCTTATGTATGAGAATTGCCTTTTAATAAGTCAATATGAGAATTACATTAGTGGATAAATTAGACTGTTGAAACACAAGAAAAGTCATCCTTTTGGTCCATATTGATTTCCCTATTTTTTATGTTAACCATTTATATTTTACTTATATTTCCATAAAATCAGAATTATGATTTCTTCTGTAGGCTTTAAGTTTATTTAAAATAGAGACATCTCTCCTATTTTCTTTGAATTGTGTGAAGTACCTAGCAAGACAAATGCTCTTAAATGACCAGAAAGAACTTGTTTGTATTCTGTTAATGTTAAAATACACTGCATCTTAATTTTTAATTAAAATTATTATAACAGTTAAATAAGGCTATCTCAGGGTCAAAATACCTTGAAGTTTTTTAACTTGGCTGTAGCTGAGCATAGTGATTTATAAATGCCTATGTTACCTAGAATTCAGAAAGAAAAGAAAGGCAGAGAAGAAAGTTCAAGGCCAGAATTGATTACACACTGTGAGACCTTGTCTGAAAACAAATAAGGCCATAAATAATATGAAATCAAGAGAAATAATACATTTTCACCCAACCCTCTTGATTGTTGTAATTCTAGATAATAAGTAGATGTATACATATTTTTGCAAAGTATTATAATACCAAAGTCTGCTTAATATGTTTGCCCTATTTATCACACACTTTTTCCCTTCAGTCAAGTTGGCCCATATAAAATAATATTGTGGTTAAACAGGAAAGAAAAAGAAGATGGAAGGAAGGAAAGAAGGAGAGGACAACAAGGACAGAAAAATTGTCAGAATCATCACAGCCTGAATTACATAGAGTAATGAAATTCAATTACTTTTTACTGATAAGATGGAAATGCCAGATCTGTCAGCCTAGTGCCAGGAGAAACTATAAAGGCATGCAGAATTGAGTAGAAATGGCTCTAGTCTTTACTGCAACATTATTCAGAACATCCAAGGTACAGAAACAACTCAAGTGTTGGATGCCAAATGAAAAGACAAAAAAATATGCTCCACATGCTTCTGAAGAAAAATACTTGTAGACATTATTAATCCTATGATTAAAAACACTAGATATTATTATTTGCCACAGCAAGCATGAGCCTAAATTTTTACCCGAAACTCATTTTGTACATGTGCCCAACTAAACACACTTAACACGTGCCTTTAGTACCAATCATAATGACACAATACTGAAAAGTACTCAAATCTTCATCAAGAGTAGAATGGATGCTACATTCAAATAACAGATTAAGATGTACACAAAAAGGAATGAAAAACAACGTTATTTGCAACTGCATAGCTAAAACTCAAAGACACAATTAAAAATGAAAGAAGCCAACAAAATGGTCACATGTTACATCGTTCCATTTAAATGAAATGGAAGAAAAGCCAAAAATAATACTCAAAAGTTTGGGCAGTGTTTCCTTCTGGAGGCAGGGGCAATGACATTGACTGGGGAAATTTAATGATTTTTAGATCTAGTGGTAGTGATGTGGGAGGTGGAAGAAAGAATGACTTATGTTTATTTTACTATAAACATTACATGGTGTCACTGGTTTAGAAAGTCCATTTGTGACAGATTTCAAATCTGTGAGTATTGTGCAAAAGGGCTTGGCATAAAAAGATATTTGCAAACATGCCCTGTATCCATGACTGCATAAAGAGCGTCATATGAAGATGTGTAGGTTGAATAAACCATTTGTAGAAGAACATTTTTCTTGGTAGAAAGAGAACATTGTCCACTGATTTT